AACTGAAGAATCTGGAAGTCAAAAAAGCAGTCTGAGCTTTAGAAAGCATCAACTAGTGCAGATTTGGTCTGGTATTGCTCTTCTTCTCTAGTGGTTGGGGGGATATTAGAGATGTTTTGGAAGAATATACAACTTTTTTGCTCAGCAGTAGTTAGTAGTCTTACTGGCCCTCCAGCCAAATATTTATCTGTTTGAAATGACAGACGAAGAAACTAATTGACTACTTCTGCTATGCAAATTAATGAAGAATTATTTAACAAAGCTGGCATTTTAGTGACATTCTTTGGGTTTTAAAATTAACAGTCTTGTAAGATCAATAAGCCCTGTTCACATCACTCAGAACTGGTAGAGCATAAATTCTAGAACACTGGAGCAAATTTTATAGTGCAAAAGAGACTGTGTATTCTTTCTCTAAGGCAATGTTTTTGTAATTTATGTAAAAGAAGTTGATGTGGCTTTAAGTACTCCTTTGCTCCCCTGCATCTACACAGTTCATGTCATACAGACAACTAAGATGACAGGTGAATAAAGGTTTGTGCCAAACAATTACTATCTGTCTTAGGTCATTAGCTTCACTGGAAGTTAGAGCTCTAAGAGCTCTGAGTATTTTAAATCACAGTCAAGCTATCTGAAAGGTAAAATTAGTGAACTTAGATACAGATGTTTCTCTGAAACAACAAATAAATAACATTGGCTAGCACTGTGCACAGTTAAACGACAGTGTTTAAGACACCAGTAGATATAAACAACTAGAAAAACCAGCCCTGTTCTAACCTTAGATTGGTACTGGACAGGCAGAAGCAATGCTGAGAAATTTTAGCAAAAATTACCTAATATAGACATAGCTATGGAGACTGAAAAACACTATAAAAATACAGGACAGCTGATTAGTGGTAGCCAAATTTATCTGTCACTGAAAATAGAAAAGAAAACATCTGGGGTGCAGTCTGGCTCCATCAAAATCAATGGCAAATTTCCCACTGACTTCAATTTTGACCACAATTTCAACCCTGTTTTCTGCATATACCAGTAAGAAAAGGTGATAGTTTTTTTTCTTTCTTTTCTTTTCTCGTATCAAGTGCGTTGCTTGGAGAACTGTCACTATCTTCAGCATTTGGCTCAATTCTAAAAAGGAATCTATATCAGCCAATTAACCATACAGAACAAATAGTATCTCTTCAGCTGGCCTGGGTAGTTTCTATGGCAGCCCCATACTTAATCTAAACACCATTCTTTTTCCATTTCTTGCTTCTCCATTTAAGCCACCAGCCACTTCCCCACTTCACTTTGTAGAGGCTCTTGAAAGCAGAATGTAGAAGATGAACTCTTTCTCCTTCTCTGGCAGTATTGTTCCCTTCAGAGAAAGATTGGGTATTAGCCCATAAGGCTAAAGTTCCATCTGTAGTTGCTATTTGCCAACAGTCATTGTGTCTTTTGCTAGACCAAAAGGACCCCAAATGATTGCTGTAGAACCTGTGATTAAAACTCTGGGCCACTAACTAAATCCTCACTCTCTTTCCCAATGTCCTCTTTAATATTTTGTTTCAGAACAAAGTCATTGTGGGTATTGTCAAAATCCAAAATGTACATATATCTGTATTTTGATTTGCAAATTATCACTGTTAATGCCTGAGTGTATATATATGCAGATGTGTAGTATTCTCCAAGTATAGAAGTTCAGTGAATTCTGATGTTTGCATTATGCTTTTTAGTGCTATGACTGAGGAAATACGTTACTAAATATAATCACACCTGCCAATTTATATTATCAGGTCAATAGATTAATTTTATTGACTGAATTTCATAAAGAAATCTCTTGTTTCTCTTATTTCTATTTTATTTTACTATTTTTTTTCCAAAAATTGAATTTACTCATAATGAGATCTGAATGCACGTGCTTGTCTTCCTCTTGTAGGCTGCCAAACTGTTGTTACATAAGTAATATTTGTATTCATTAGTGCTTGGATACCAGCGTGATGGGCAACTTAGATTAAATAAAATGTTTAAAATAAGAAAGAGACATCTTAAGGACAAATGATTTCTCCATTAATTTCTGCAAGCTGAACTGTGAAGAGGTCTGTCTATGCTGTTACTGTGACGCTGATGGAGAGGCCACTCCCTGTAGTCAGACACAGATTTCAACAGGAATGGAACTGGGCTGACATATCAGAATTCTTCAGTTCCAGTCATAGTAACCAGCTGAGGCAACTATAAAGCATACCTTAGGTAGAGGATTAAGACAGCTTCTTCCACAATTTACTGTTTGGGAAACTGAGGAGGAGAATGGCATGCAGGCAGTCTGGGCATTAGAGCCCAAAGTCACAGCCATCTCCTCCAGCCTTTAGCAGAATAGAAAATCTTCTGAAGCACTTGCTTCCTTCAAAATGTTTGCCTCAGCTGCAGAATCTATCTGATGATTGCTGTATCAGTACATAATCCCAAGAATGCCAAAAGGATTGCTCCAAGTTCTGAGATAATGTTTATCTGCTGCTCCAAAATATCCCATTTCTATCTGCAGAAAAATGTGTGCAAGTTTGTGTTCTGGTCTAGTCTGATAAATTTACTCACAATCTCCATACATTTTTGACACTCAGTCTTCATTACTATCATCCATTATAACTGAAAGAATCTCCGTTGATTTATTCTGTGGCAATCTTTTGGCTGAGCAGCACAAGCTGTTGAGAAAAATCCCTCTGGTCCATTTCCACTTACTAGACTTCAGTGGATATGGAGGTCTAATGAAAGAGTCAGTTCCATATTAAAAAGTGCTTCTGCTTGGTTACACAGCCAGCTTGCTAAAAAGAAGGAAGTAGCAACGAAGTGTCACATTTCAAATACTGAAAGAATTGAGGTGGTGATAAACTGAACTAATGCATTCTTAATTAGAAGAAGATCTTCTAATACTTTGATAGGATGCATGGAAAGAAATACTGCATGTTTGGAAACACTGAACTCAGAAACCCATTTTTAATGCTGCTGGAGAAAGAAGGAAGTATCTGTTGCAGAAGTCTTCTGAAATTGGGCTTGTAAAAATTCAAAACCTGTGTTAGCACAATCCTTTGATTAAGACTTATTTTCAAAGGTAAGAAATATCAGTGCTTTTCCCCCTGTACAACTAAAAGCCTATGGGGCTGGATAATCTCAGGGGATGTGGTATCACCAGTCAATACGAGTACACTGACCACTGAGTGTTTCCAATGTCCTACAGTAAGTAAGGGGTAATAAAAACAATGTGGAAAGCTAGAGCATCAGCAGAAAAGAAGTGAAAAATTAGGCACAAAACCAATTGTTACGTCATACTATGAGGGGAGAAAGAAGTTCTACTCAGTCTAATGTGTAAATGGGAATCCAAAAGTATGGATTTTTCAAACTCTCGTTTTGTGATCTATCAGCATTCACAGTTCTGTCTTAAATAGTGTTATCTCTATGTAGGAATTTGGAAGAACCCTTCTGAACTTCACCTCTGAGTTAGCTGGAACAGGGTGCCTGGAGAGGTTGTGGATGCCCCATCCCTGGTGCTGTTTAAGGCCAGGTTGGATGGGGCCCCAGGCAGTCTGATCAGATGTTTGATGTAGTGGTTGGCAACTGTCTGTGGCAAGGAGATTGGAACCTGATGATCCTTGAAGTCCCTTTCAACACAAGGCATCCTATGACTCTATGAAGTTATACATCAAGAACAATGTAAGGATGCTTAACTTACACTTCAGCTCATGACCATGGCCTCAATTCATCTCTTGCGTTCTTTATTGTTCCAGTAGCTAAAAAAACCCCTATGGCTTAGTTTTACTTCTCTGTGTAATACAGACCAACAAGGCCTTTATCCTTCATTCCCTTGCTTTTTTATTTTATAATCTCTGAACCAAATTATCCTTGATAATCGAGGCCTTTTCTCACTCTTTGTAGGTTCTGTACTTAGTATCTTGCTTCAGTCATTTGTGCATCCAGAGACTGGTTAATTCTTCTCTCGTCCAGCATGTGCAGATTATTTCCATTATTAATGCAAATCCATTCTTTTCTGCATTCAGTTAATTGAATTCCTCAGGCCACTCATCTTCATTCACTGACTTTTCTATTTTCCACAAGTTGGCCCTTCAGAAATACTGACCTGTAGATTTATTTTGTCCATCTTGCAGTTTGAGAAGAACTAAATCCATTCATAATCACTCCTCCTCGGATATTATTTTTTGGTCAGCTGCTCTGCAAGGTCCTCCTTATGCACAAAAATTAAGCTTAGAATAGCATGCATGTTGTTTTACAAATTTCTGTACCAAAAGTCAGTCGTCTGAAATGCCTAAAAAAACCCAAATCTTGCCATTATTGGTAGTATTTTTGTCTGTCCAAAAAGGTTGTTTTCTGTACTCATATAATTTCCCTTGTTATTTATTTATCCATTTATAGAGTTGACTGCCTTCTTACAAATCTCAGCTTGTCAGAACATAACATCCCCCTTCTACACAAATAGTGTCCAAGTTGCTCTCTTTTACCATCTTTCCTTGCAGTGATTTTCATCCTAACAGATTAAGTTTTATTCATGCCATCACATTTTAAGATAGATAAACACCTTTTGGCTTTGAACTTTGAACTTCCTAACTGTAATGTAATTTAAGTTGCACCCACATAGGCCCATACATAAAGTTTTCTTGTTTTCTTTTTAGACTGAAGGAACCTCAAAGAAAAATAGCATGAACTTCCCCACCCTTTCACAAAGTGATCATAAATGTACTCATTCATATTAGATTAACTTAACAGCATTTGGTTTGGTTTTATATAGCTAATACATACTATTTATGAATAGTTCTTTTCTTTGCTAATAACTCACCATTCTAAGTCTTTACTCATCCACTTGAATAAGATATAGGTAATACTGAAATACTGATTAGATTCAAATCAACATACATCATTCATAATAGAAGAAAAATGTGTAGTGTTCAAAAACAAATTTGTCAGATGCAGATTTAGTCCAAATTCTTGAGTTCTGTGGGGTGAAATTGCTCAAAAATCCTCAGCCACCCTCATCTCTCATAGCCATCAGTCTTAGGGTCTGCACAGGGAAATACAGGAAAGGAATGAGTTAACAGCTCATCTCTCAACAAATATGCCAAACTCAACTCTTCTTAAACATCACCACAGCCTAAGGTATCATTCAACAGAAAGTTTGCAGGCTGCAGGTCTCAGCAGTAGTAAGTTGTTATCTTGCACTCTGAGTATAAACACTGCCATTACATTGCCATCAAAATGTCTGAACATTCTCCGAAGTGGTAAAATTAAGTCCTTCCGTGACTTATCTTATAAATGATAAGCAAAAGGCTGCATATCAACTTGTTTTATTTCCTATCTGAAGAAGATAGGAAGCCTAACCTGAGATTTCATATATATATATATATATATATATAGCTAAGCCACTATAGTACATTTTTTCCAGTCAGCATTGCTGTGATTTAGATGAGAAACAGCAAGAAAAGTTTGAGCTGTCACACTTGACTTTGAGCTGCCAAAGAGAAGTACTGGAGGTCACAGGCTAAGATTTAACTTATCTCCTTTCCTTACAGGCAGAGATGGTACGTGCTGCTTTCCAAGCACAGAGATCTTTCCTGGTGTTAGCATCTCAATGTCAAGAGCCTCAAGAGGTAAGAAAACTGACCTACAGTTTCAAGAGTCACTGCATCAAAAGGCTGTCTTCCTGCATGTTTTGTATCATCCCTGCATTTGCTTCTATCTCTTACTTTATACAGTGTACTTAGATGCTTGCTTTTAGTGTTATTAGCATGGTACTGCAATAACCAGAAAGTTTACAATAACCGGAGTGAAGGAATTTTTCTGAACCAATACATATAACATCACTGTAGAAAGCAAAGGAGGTTTCCATTATAGGGCTGTAAGTAGGATCAGTTTTTCTCTGGAAGCTGAAGACACTAGGCAATATAATGACTTCTTGCTACCCCACAGGGATGTTGTGTAATAGACTTGGAAGTTAGGGAATAAGCTATTGAAAGAAAAAAAGATCAATACTAGCCCTTAGACTGAATACTCTCAGAGCTCTGGATTAGTCTGATTTTGGAAGAGGCAGTGCTTTTCATCAAGAAAGTGAAAAGGCATTTTAGATCAAATTGATTTATTTACTTTAGCGGTAAGCTTTCACAACTAGAAGGCTCAGGGAGGCTGTGGAGTTGTTAAGAAATGTCATTTGAAATGAAATGAAATGTCATTTGTGGTTTCGGCAGGGCACAATGTTTTGGATAGCAGCACTGTGTGAGTGCTGGGAACAATGATTGGGCAGCCCTTCTGTGGGACTGCTCTCCAACCTTCCTTCTGTGAGTGTGCAGAGAATGAAGACTCTACTTGCACAGCCTTCTGTTCTGCCTTTTTCTGGTAGCTCATAGTTCACTAGATTCTGTATTCTCAAATCTGAGCTCTCTGCAACTAGGATGAATTATTGAAATTTTGCTGTCATTGTGAGATACAAATTGAAAGTGTTACTAATCAGTATCTTTTAATGCACTCAAGGAAAAAAAATAAAAGCACAGATATTCCAGATGAGACTTTTGATTTATGGAGTTCCAAGCAAGGGAAGGGATCCGTTGTTTTTCCATCTGTCCCTGATCTCAGAGAGTAAAAGTGAGTCATGATTTGCAGAGAACCAGCAAAATTCCCACTGGTACAGGCCTCAAGAAGTCATTTATATTGGCTGTGAACACAGTTGCACCCAGAGGCCCACAAAACTCTTTGTGCTTGTTGGTAAAATATTCCCCAATGAACAATTTCCAATGGCCACTAAAGTAATGCAGTGCTCCAGATTGTTGGCATTGTCCCCCTCTGGTGAAAGTTAAAGCTCTGGCTCACTACTTGGTGATGTGTTACCAGTCTGATTTTGTCTGTTTGTCAATTGGAATTGGAGTGGCTTCTCCTCAATTTTATCCCTAACATTTTCTGAACCTGATGTCAAAAATTTGATATTTCTTCAGCTGTAAAGTTCAGAAACTTTCATTTTAAAATGGCAACAAAACAAGCAAAGAAAAAAAAAAGAACAAGTGTAAAAAGAGATTCTCCTGCGATCCAGAACGGCAGCTGCAGAAGCATTAAGAAAAGCAACAAATAATAAAAACCTTGCCATAAATATAACCACAGTTGGCCACATGTATAGCTGGGCATTATCAGGCTTGCATAGAATTGTTGAGCTTGTTGATGGCAAAAAAAAAGTATTTTTTTATCATTGAATTATCTTTTAGGTCAGAGGAAGTGCCAGGTGGCACATGTGTTACAATGGCAGGAATATTACAGGTTAAGGTTCGTTTCTCAGTGACAACAAACCCAATCCAATTACTGAAAGTTTTTTAAAGTGAAGACTGTTAGGTGCATTTTTTTGATAGGTTTTTGATAGACATCCAAAACTGTACAGTTGTTAATTCCTTTCCTCTTTTTTGCACATACTTTTTGCACGGTCCTACATGCAGCTATAAAGCAGACAACCTGAAACTAGTTGAAGGCTGCCTATTGTATGCAACTTGAATAGCATGCTCCACTGCAGAGACCGACAGCACAAAAAGCATCAGGCTTTTTATATCTCCATCTCAGTGGGGAAAAGAATCCTTTTGCAAAGCTGTATTGGTTAACAGTTTTGAAAAAGCTAGTTAACACCAGATAACGCCAGGGAGGGAAAGAATCAGGGGTCCTTCCCCCCCAGGACTTTATTGATGCAATGTCATCTGGGCTCTGGTTGTATTTACAGCCTAGAGCCACAGAGTCAGTGTGGAATCCAAACAGGAAAGCTAGTCATTAGTGTATCAGAATGCACAGGGTAGAGAAAAGCAAATGAAGATGACAGCATATCTATAAATGCAAGAGAAAAGAGAGTAATTCTGTCATTCAGCTGTCTAGACTGTTTGCTTTATAATGTAAAGCTGTGAATGAGCCAGCAGGCTGCGATTATGGCATAGTAGCTTTGCAGACATTCAGAGACAGCGGTGTGGAGACTGAGGGGATTTAGTGAGTTCCTGTCATGTTGGGATGTCATACGTGGTGCCTTTAAAAAAAAAAAAAAAGGGGAGGGGAAAATGCCCTGCAAAAATAAATTAGCTCAGCTCTTGCAGCTTATAAACTAATGAACAAGGAATTCAAACTAAAAGAAAGCTCCTACATGTATCATGATCCTTAGACTTTTCTGTGCTTAGCAAAGAAGGAAGAGAAATACGTATCACACAACAAGCAAAAATTTTCCCCTCTGTGAAAATGTTGCAGGCTGAAGTGTTCTTTCAGATCTTGAGCTCCTTCTGTGAGTCACTAGCAACATTTTCGGTTCAGCTTGCTTAAGCTGCTTCTGCAGAGTTTTGCTCCTTGATAATAAAGCTGATATTTTTTCATTGGAATCTGCTGCAGCGCATAGCCTTTATTATCTGTATATGTGAAAACAGTAGGAGCTGGGAAGGTAATTCCAGCTGGCATACCGATCTAGCATCAACTGCAATAAATTACTTAGCAGAGAGCATGTTCTGTTACTTTTTATGGTCATGTTCTATATTTGTGTGTGCAGTGGAAGAGATCACATGGCAAAACCCCCGTTTGATATTCCTGTTTATGTATGTCCCAGTTAACGGCTGCTGGGTGCAGGCTCATTCAGCAAGAGCGAATACTTGAGTTCATCTGCTTCTCAGAAATTACATTCTGCCATCAAACCTCAAATGTTGAAAATAAAAGTCTGTAGGAAGTTGTTTATTATATAGAGATAGCAGAAAGAAGATGGCGAATGGAAAACAAATCACGTTGTCATTTTATTCTGGGAGATGTTTTTGAAAAGGTATTTTGAGAGGATGTTGCTCGGGCAATTCAGAAGATAATGTGTTAAAGGAATGTCAAACACCAACCTTCACAAAACATTCATGATACATGTTTTGGATGTGAATTTTCTTCTCCCAGTAGTTTAAATCAAATACAATTGTGACTGAAAAATTATTATGTTGTATAATAATGCTAAAAGTTATTAGCCTTCCTAAGCAACTCTGTTTTACAAGTTTTTAAATTCAGGATCTTGTACACAAACACGAGATCACTGCACCAAACATATGAGGCACTGCGCTAAATTCCTTGTCAACGGTAACTTATATCATCTCCTCTTTATAGGTTGCTTCATTTCATTTTAAATGTTCAAATAATTTTAAATTACACATTTTATTAGTGATATAATATTCTATGCAATATTTAACAGTGTATTTATGTATTATTTTTATATTATTTATATATTGTTGTTTTTAATTATTAATTCTGAAGCTCACAGTAACAAATAATGGTAGAATAAGGTAAGATGCTGCTGTGTTTAATGGGAGCTACACACATTTACTTTGATCCTCTGAGTTGTTATGTGAAGGGGGTTAGTTTTAGTTAATGAAGCATGGTAGATAAATTGACATTGGTGACTTGAAACTTTTAAGTGTTTTAGCATATCTTAAGCCTTCCCACAAACAGACAAATGTCCTTGCAATTAGGCAAAACTCAGGACGAATGCATCCCGTGGTAAGAAGCACTGCAAACAGCGACGAATGCAGTTCAGACTATAAATGCTTACGTAACTCCTCATTGAACTAAAATAAAATGCTGAGTTCATGTGACTGGCAGAACTCATGGATTTAATTACTAACGTGGTTAGACAAACATTCCGATGAAATACCTGCTTAACTATCCAGAATGTATGCATGGGGAAGTGAGAGGTGAGAGAAGGCCTTCTTTTTTCCTTTTTTTCCTAGAAAAGTGGAAAAACATAAACCCAGGAAACTGTATTTGAAGTTGGAACGAGAACCATGGAAACAAATTCTGACGTTTTTAATTTCTTCATAGTCAAGCAAAAATTCCATTGTAGAAACAGAATAGTTCTGGCCATTTCTCTCAATAGAGTTATTCTCAGATTTTTTCTTCTAGAAATTAAAGATGGAGATTTACACTTTCATACTCTCCTTCAATTTAGGATTAGTCATTTTTTTTCTCCTATTTTTAAATCACTCTGGTAACAGAACTCCTTGGAGTCCTGCATCCTAGCAGGATTTTGTTTTCTAA